CTAATGTTACCATAATGTGTCACTTTCATTCAATTATTAGAATAATGTGTTGATGCTTTCTGCTGTGAGGTGGAGTTAAATTATGACAGAAAAACACCATCACAATGTGGAAAGCAATGTGAACCATGATGGTGAAGATGCTTTGAATCAACTGTACTATATGTGCTGTGCATTGACACCTGAGAAACAAGCTCCCATACAAATCCTCTGCTGTTGGAGTCCAATTAAGAAACCTCTTGGTAAATGGCTCCTCTGTGGATGTACATAATTCAGCAGCTCTTTTCATAGGCAGCATGTGCCTTCAGTATGAAATAGGGACTGTGAGTTTCTCTTTTCTCATCTTCTAACAAAGCCTCTGTTGGACAAAAACCTCAAGTCCTACTGATTATTGTGCACAGTTTGTATGTGTCGATTGGCGGCATATAAGAGGCTTGAAAGTGAGGTGTTGTTTTGATTATGCGTTGTGTATTTTTGTTCCTCAGTCACTTCAGTTGGAGGATGATCTTTCAAAATGAGATGCTGACTCCATTCAGTTAATGTCTATTCCTTGGAGAGCCCGAGTCGTTGCACAAATGTGTCCTATTCCAACACTAGCACACCTAATTCAAGTAGTCAATGGAACTAATCATCAAGCCCTTAATTAGTTGAAGCAGGCGTACAGTGCTGGAATAACAAATATGACATAATACTGGGTTAAAATATAAATGCTGGATTATGTGTGCCAGATGGAATTACTGTAATATATGGTAGAGTAGCTCATAGTAGGCTCTACTATATCATTCTAACTAACTATTATTGATGTAGACCTTGAATCCAGACCAGTGGAGGCTGGTGGGGGGAGCTATTGGAGGGCGGGCTCATTGTAATGGCTGGAATGTAATAAATGGAACAGAGTCAAACACATGGTTTCCATATGTTTGATGTGTTTGATACCATTCCATTTATTCCATTCCAGCCATTACAATGAGCCCGTCCTCCTATAGCTCCTCCCACCAGCCTCCACTCCTCTACCATCCATGATTTCAGATGATCTAGCTATGATCTAGCTGGCCAAACAGAGATATAGCCACAAACAAACTGAGCATACCACCAGACACTGACAATGTCAATATTGTTTGTCTTATGAAAACAAATTAAGTTTAATATGTATTAAAGGAAGAGACCAGTCCACCTGCTTACATAATATTATACAAACCAACCATGAGGACAGTTACAAATCTAATTGATTCATTATTTGATATGAGAAAAGGTTAACTTCTTGTATCATCTTGGTGATCATTTTTAATATTTCCCTTCCTATAGCAGTAAGGATCAACAATATCCTAAATAGGAGTTATATCCATTAATCGAATGTCAATAAAATGCCCCTAATTCAAAGCTAAAGCCACCATATACAATAACAATAGCCTAAATGAGATTCAGGATACCAATCACAGCAGGCCATTTCCGATTGTAGCCTACCGTAAAAATACAAGTACTTATACCAGTCTCTCCACCAGCCCAGATTACACAGTGATGTCATTTCCTCTTTTGTCTCTCACCTTGAGACCTGTGAGTTAATTGGCTTCACTGGTATGTAATTACTCTCTCTCTCTCTCGCGTTCTCTCTCTGTGTCAGCCCGATTGGGCTGTATATTAGTAGATTTGAAAGGCTACAGCAATTTCTGGAGCAGTAATAATAATATGCCATTTAGCAGACGCTTTTATCCAAAGCGACTTACAGTCATGCGTGCATAAAACATTTTTTTTTGTGTATGGGTGGTCCCGGGGATCAAACCCACTACCCTGGCGTTACAAACGCCGTGCTCTACCAGCTGAGCTACAGAGCAGTAGTAGAGATTCAGGTGAATCTTTTGTTTTCAATGGATCTTTAATCCCATAGTAGTTAGAGAAACACCAAGGAGCAAAAGGTGGTTTGTGAAGTAAATATAACCTTGTTAGTAAAAGATACAGTAAGGTTGGTATGGTTACCACATTTCAGAGGCCACACTGAGAAGGATAAAATAATAGGAAGAATGCTGGTAATTATACAGTAGGTCTTCAGGAGGGAGCCTGCTGAATCAGTGAAGTTGTCTAAGTAGCTATGGTTTGTCCTTTAAGGTCCTCATAAAATGATTACCAGTGAGAGGAGGGCCATTAGGTGCCTCTTGCTTGATTACCTGAGAATAATCTGGTATCCTCAGAGAATCAGTGAAAACATCCTCTGATGTCACAGCACCCCGAGTCTGTGTAATAACAGGGTCTACCTTATGTCATTATTGATGTATAAAACTGTAATTAACCGAGTATACCAATAATGGTTATATGTTGTAAATGGCTTGTTTAGTGGTAGAAGAGTGCAAAGTGACGCAAATGATGGGTCAGCCAGGGAGAAGTGAAACAAGGTACACAATTCATTTTCACATTTTAATACTTGACTGTACATTACACACATAGCCCTGTTCAGTGAAAAGTGGTGCAACATACACAATATTTAAATAATATATAATTGATGTTTGTCATTCCAAGTTGCAAACAATATGTATGCCAGTTAATTTTTCTGACACAGAGGCACTTCATTTCAGACTATTCCATGCAAGGGCAGATGTTGACAAAAAAGCCCTCAAAACCACATGATCAGAAATGCACATTGGACCATTGGACATTTATGCACTGGCATCTTCTGAGATATTTGGCACAGTTGTGATCATATTCCCCATGACAGCACTGTATTATAAAAATGTGTTGACTGTTACAATCACAAAACAGGAATCATTTTAGTTGTTTCATAGGTAGCTGCCTGATATTAAAATAAGCTTTTCACATTAGAATGAGCAGGCAGTTTGTAGCAACAACATAAGTACAAATAGCACAACCCAAAAGTTCATGATTAAAAAAGCTAGTCCTTCAATTGTCATTCTGTAATAAAAAAACTAGTGGTCATCACTGCCAAAAGGGTATGCAAAAGTTATTAATGTATGCTATTAAAGGTGAAAAACACAACACAGCTTTTAACATTTTGCACAAAATTATTGAAAATGTGCAAGACTGAACAGTACAGTAGCAAAATGCTCAGCCAAGATAGAGTAAAAATAAGAGCAAGTTTAGGATCTGTTTTCCCTCCACATATTATCCCATACAGTCTCCTTTGCATTTACTAGCCTTTGCATTGGGGAATAATTTCAATATCATTAATCATTTAGACTGGATCAATTAATGAAGTTCTATAACAAGTTAAGTAATTTCACAGTCCTTTTCTGTTTGCAAGCCTGGACTAATAGGTATCACTGAAAACGAGAACATTCCAAAGTGCTTTTTTTGCTTAGCAAGGATACTAGGCCTAGGCCTACAGTATTTTTGAGCTTCCAACCGTCTTTTGGGTTATTCTAGACACCGGCAGGAGTTTTTTCTGCTAGGTCTTTCAACTCATCTTCTATTCTGTCATCTTCAATGACAACTGCCGATCAGAAGAAAACACGAAATTGTGAGGATTCACACTCAGATTCTCAGTCAAACTAAGATGGTGGATTTCATACAACTCCACCTATATCTCTATTCATGGAAAGTTCATTTATACATGCTGTGTCCAGTCAAGCCACAGGAAAATATGAACATTTTCCAATGAAAGAGCCCAACTCTGTATTTTTGAACACACACACACCCTATTTTCAAAAGTGTTTATTGAATTTATTGTAATGATTATTTAAAAACGTCCTTTGTTGACAATAGTCTCCACCTCGTTTACTTCTCCCAATCTGTCCGAGTTTAGGTGCTTTTAGTCTGTGCAGCACAGTATAAATTGTTGGTATCCTGCAGGCGACACGTGATGGAGACCTGTCCCACGTCGCCATCAGCACCATAATATTTCTCGTTGAAAGGCAATACTCCCGACATGTCTTCACAATACAAACTTAGTCCATAATCGATACTGAAAGACGCCGGTGAAAGACCTGATATCATAATACACTGACATTTATATCGTATAATATCGCTTACATTAAAAAGCATTTATCCAAAGTTTTCTGTCCTCTTTACGAATAAACGGGCCATGTATCGATGGAATACAGTACATTTACAGAATAAAATGACACCGTTGTAAAATATTAGGCTAAATCTTGATAAGGAGAGCGATGCAAAACATTCCCGAGAATTGGCAGAAAATATACGTCACCGACTGAGGTAACATTTTCCTGGTGCATCCACCAGTCTCACCACGACACGCTCGTTAAGTTGCTTTTTGTTGTACCTTCGCGGTTCAATGGGCATCCCCTAATAGTCAACCCATTATGAATCAATAATTAAATATAATTGTATACAGCTTCATCTCCTTTTTATGAGAAATAACTGATTCAGTCACTTTGTTGGGTAACTTGGGGGACATACTTGATACCTTTCTTAAATTATAAAATGTTTCTATCTTGCACATGTTTTATTTCTGTACTTTCGATGCTTCATATCCAATTCTATGGCTTATGCAAACCATAAAATATCCCTGTTGAAAACATGTATGCAAGGCAGACATCACCCTCTCCTGGCAGCCATAGATATTTCCATAACTGTGAGTGGATAGTTAGTATACTCCAACTTTGCAAAATAGGTTGAGGATTTGTTTTGTGTCTTTCTTTCTTTCTTTATTCAAAATGGCTTTGATGTGCTTTGGAGAAACATTGAGGTGAAGACATTCAACTGAGTTGATTCTACAACTCTCTATGGAAAAAGGACACATCTTTTCCTCAACTGATATAACTCAAATCAACATTTGCATAATGACACAGCATCACAAGTAAGCTTGATCTTTCAAGGAAACTTTAAAGCTACAAGTATCACTTAAAATTATACACAGTACATTTCCTGTCACATAAAAAAAGACAATCAAACAAAAGGAAAACAAACAAATACACAGTTACATTTTCAGTGACAGTCTCTCCACCAGCCCAGATTACACAGTGATGTCATTTCCTCTTTTGTCTCTCACCTTTAGATTAGTCCAGTTTCAATTGCCATCACCACGGCATTGTCCATTAGCTGTTATAAAGCGGTACTACCCTCTCTATCGTTGCCCTGCAGATAGGGCACTTCTTTGGCTCTGGAAGAGCCTGGTAGCATTGGTCACAGGCACAGACATGCCCACACTCCAGGAACACACAACAACGCTCCCGGCTCAGACACACCGTACAGGCACTAGGGGAAACACTAGCCTCCTCTACATTCAGCTTCCTCATCCTCTTCCTCTGATGCTCCTTGAACTCCTCCAGGACGTTCTTCTCCTTCCTCCTCTGTCTGTGGTAAACCCACTTCTTCCACAGGATGAAGAGGAGCGTCGTAGAAGCTACCACACCAAACACCGCGGTCAGGACCCTCCAGACTCTGACGCTGCTCTGTTGCTTCTCCACCAGGGAGTCATAGTTCAGTCGGCTGAGGAAGTACCTCAGGCCCTGCTTGGGAGGCTGGAGCTTCACCAGGTTGTTGTCCAGCACCAGCTCCCCGACCCCGGTCACACTCTCCCCCAGACGCAGCATCTCCTCAGTCTCGTGGATACCTATAATAATAACAAAAACAACAACAACATGCCATTTAGCTTTTATCTAAAGTGACTTAAAGACTTACATGCATGAATGCATTTTAGTATGGGTGGTCCCAGCGGGAATGTAACCCACAACGCTCTACTAAAGCAGTGTTGACCTTAGCCCTGGGCTTAACTGAGCAACACAGGACCACACAAAAGGACCATACCTTTAGGGCGCTCCCCGCTGATGAAGTGGCCGATGACATTGGTCAGGGACTGGACGGTGGGGTGAAAGTTCTCGTATGTGGTCTCCAGGTCTAGCTCCGAGGAGTCCAGGGGACGGATGACCCGGATGGTGGCGGCCATGGCCATGTCGTGGGATGCCAGGTCAAAGGGCACCGTGTTGGTGCGCTGGTGGATGACCTTTTCACTCTCGTTCCTGACAGGTACAAAATATTAGAGATATCTACAGAGATGTGTATCCACAAAAATATGCACTGTAGAGCATAACGTTATTATCGTCATAAAAATAAATAAAAAAAAGTGAAATGATTTTATGTTTATTTATTCATTCTAAAGGTAACACAAGAGGAACAAAAGTTAACTGTTAGGCCATCGTCAGTGTGTGAGTGTCTTCACACACAAACAATACATCCACACAAACTGAGCCTCCTAACAGCCATCAGTAAGAAAGCGTGCACGAATACATCATAGCACTTCAATGTACTTTAGCACCTACCAGAGATGAGTGGTGCGATTCCACACCATCTTCTTCTCCTTTAGAGTTAACCTCTCGATGACCCCTTTGCAGTTGTCCACAAACTGGCTGTTCAGGGTTTCTTTCACAGATCTCACAACACCTTCGATCACAGCGTACGGGACACATTTTCCTGGTGCTTCTGTCAGGATGTTCTTCAGATCCTGATCAATAGACACTTTCTTGGCTCCCTGTAAAACATAAAGCGTATTGAACAACAATCAAAAACTTCAAATGATCATTGTGATTAAGTGAAATCCCTTCCTGGTAAAACGCAAATGTCTGAACTATTGATAACATCACATTGGATTTCCAGGTGCAGTGCTACTGTATTTAAAGAGATTCTCTGATACCTTTGTATACTTTTTAGCCAGTAGTTAAGAAAGTAGTGCTCACGAGCCAAAAGTGGTCCCCAAAAATTGCGTACTACGTCACATATGTGCAGCTATGTGCATCACGTCATTGCTCACTCTCTCGCTCTGCCGTGTGTGCATCTTGCTAGCTGTCACTCAAATGGCGAGGGGCTAAAGCTCATTGGCTGGAATTCCAATTGATAAGGGGCTGGCCCACGTGGGGGAAAATGGCGCCGCGCAGCTTCCAGTAAACTGTCGCTTTCAAACTAGGGATTTCGTGGCTAATTGAGGTAACACAGTAATTCTGCTCATAGATTATGCATGTACTGTACGAACTACACATTGACAAATACAGCCCAAAGCAAGAGGTTTGAAAAATACTTACTAGACGCCAACGTTCCGGAGCATGTCTTTAAACTCCCCTCAAGATGTGTCACTTGCCAATGATTAGCCTAACCACTAAACACACTCCTAACAGATTTAATGAGATAAGGTAGATAAGAAAGATAGATGAGACAAGCCTATAATGTGATTACCTTTAATCTTGCTACTGTTGTTGTCCTCCTCCTGTACACAGAGTAGAAGACTGCAGTCAGTGCTGAGCTGGTGGTTAATAGCAGGACTTGGGCTGTGGAGGGTTTCCCACTAGAATCCATCCTGTCAGAACACAAGGGCAGTTGTATCCCCACCTGGGATGGGAGTCAGATGACAGTCTATAAAGCTATGGTCATGTGTTAGTTGGACCTTGATGGAATGTATGAATGCCATGCAATTACACTACAGAATTATACTTGGCCAGTTGGCTTGTCAGCCTAATAATCCATATTTACAGAGACTTGACTGACTGTCTGCCACCTAGTTGGGTGATTCTCATGAAACCATGTCTGTAGCACATTGAGTTACAAAACCATGATGCATCTGCAAAAATCAACTATCATTCTGAGGACTAAGATGTGTAGTTTTTGGCTTAGTGTCTTATTATAAATACCTTTTAGCCTGAATGGTGTACATTTTCACCCCAAATTCTCATTACTGAAATGCGTCCAGATTAAATTCTCTGGTAATTTTATAACATTTTACTTTAGAAAAACTTGCTTATTTGAATAAAACACAAAATATGTTGCTGTAGTTGATCCATAAATAATAAAAATTGTATACTAGTTGAAGTTTACATTAAACTATAATATGTATTACATATTGTCTGTTGGCATGTGTCTCATTACCGTAACACTTTTTCAAGTTCCTGTAAAAACTCCAATCAGTTTTGAAATAAAGTTTTATTCACCCATGATGCATCATCTAGAGGAGTAGTATAAGTTAAGGACATTTATTTGATTATATGCCTTCAGAATTAGGTTCTTATTCTCAAACAGCCCCTTTACCCCACTTGGCCTTCTCATTACCGAAATGGGTAAAAAGCTCAAATTGGGAAAAAGTCAGATTTAATTTTATTATAATTGTATAATTTCATATTAAATATTTGATCCCAGAAAAATGTAAATGTTCCATACGCACAAAAACCTTATTCTCTCAAATTCTGTGCACAAATCTGTTTACATCCCTGTTAGTGAGCATTTCTCCTTTGCCAAGATAATCCATCCACCTGACAGGTGTGGCATATCAAGAAGCTGATTAAACAGCATGATCATTATACAGGTGCATCTCGTGCTGGGAACAATAAAAGGCCACTCTAAAATGTGCAGTTTTGTCACACAACACAATGCCACAGATGTGTCAAGTTTTGAGGGAGCGTGCAATTGGCATGCTGACTGCAGGAATGTCCACCAGAGCTGTTGCCAGAGCATTGAATGTTCATTTCTCTACCATAAGCCGCCTCCAACGTAATTTAAGAGAATTTGGCAGTACGTCCATCCGGCCTCACAACTGCAGACCATGTGTATGGCGTCGTATGGGCGAGCGGTTCACTGATTTTAACATGGTAAACAGCGTGCCCCATGGTGGCGGTGGGGTTATGGTATGGGCAAGCATATGCTACGGACAACGAACAAAATTCCATTTTATCAATGGCAATTTGAATCCATAGAGATACCGTGACGAGATCTTGAGGCCCATGGTGAAGCCATTCATCCGCCGCCATCACCTCATGTTTCAGCATGATAATGCACGGCCCCATGTCGCAAGGATCTGTACACAATTCCTGGAAGCTGAAAATGTCCCAGTTCGTCCATGACCTGAATACTCACCAGACATGTCACCCATTGAGCATGTTTGGGATGCTCTGGATCGACGTAAACGACAGCATGTTCCAGTTCCCGCCAATATCCAGAAACTTCGCACAGCCATTGAAGAGGAGTGGGACAACATCACACAGGCAACAATCAACAGCCTGATCAACTCTATGTGAAGGAGATGTGTCTTGCTGCATTAGGCAAATAAATGGTGGTCACACCAGATACTGACTGGTCTTCTAATCCACGCCCAATCTTTTTTTTTTTTTAAGGTATCAGTGACCAACATATGCATATCTGTATGCCCAGTCATGTGAAATCCATAACTCAGTAAAATATTTGAAATTGTTGCGTTTATATTTTTGTTCAGTATAGATAAGTAGAGATCCTAATCTCTATGATCCAAGAGGAAATTTCGTGAATAATGACACGATTTTTTGGTCAAATTTCGTGAGAATGACCCAGCTATTATTCCTGTAGCTAACGAAATCGAGGACTCACATTTAGGGCCAGCAAAAATATATTTGGGTTGACTGACCTTCTGGAGGTGAGTGACCATTTCAAATGCTTAGCTAATGATAACAATGCAGTCGCCAAAATACAAAAAATATATATAAAATGTGGTATCGTGCAATTATACAAAATATATTGACTGAACATGAAAACCTGTCGCTAGCTAGCAAGATAGATATATTGTTGACATTGCGCTAGCTAATAGTTAACGTAGCTAGCTAAGGGCTCTGTAATTTAGCCCTGCACTGACGTAGATAGTTTGTAAACACACAGATCTCTCACCCAGCAAATTACGTTTATATTTTAAAACCTATCGATTTCCTTCCAAGATTAGATAAAAACAGCCACAAGTAGCTAGCACTCACCCTCCACTTTCTCACAGTAAACACTATTTCCGGGTTCCTTTTCTCACTTCAAAATAAAAGTTATTTCAATGTGGTCACTTGACCAGCAGGTAACAGTGTTCAATCATTTATCAAGTGAAAAGCTTCTACTTATTCTTCTACTTCTGTGGGTTTTATGGCAGACTACAACCCCAAAAGGTCTATTACCGCTACCAACTGGACGGGGTTGAAAAACCAAGGTAAAAATAAAACCCATACGTGATAGGGGAAACTAACTTAATCCACCCAAAATAAAACAATTAAAAAAACACATTGACGAAACTAAAACACCAAAACTCCCACTTCTTCCTTCCTTCAAATCTCCATGTCCCTTCTCAGGCTCTATGACCTGAGAGGGTTGTACAGCTTGTGACAATACTCCATGCAACTCCTCCGCCAAGAAGTCTTTCAGTCCCAGGAACCGTTCCGCCACATCCACAAAGATATCTATTTTCCTGGACTTCCTCTCCACCTTGGCAGTGCAATTAATCACCATAACTATAAAGAAGAACAACAAAATCAAAACAAGGCCGCCTCTCGTGATCCTCACAGCCTTCACTTTACTCAGCACCCTCTCCACCAGTTTGGATATTTCAAATGGATTCTTCAAAATTGGTAATCCAATCAGCTGCTCCTCATTAACAAAATGTACTCATACAAGATATGAAGGGACATTCTCGTCACTGTATGCTACATTTGTCACGTTCGTCGGTGAGAGATGAGGACCAAGGCGCAGCGTTGAATGTGAACATATTTATTTAATTTGATGATCACACGATCAAAACAACAAAACGATGACGTGACAGTCAATGGTCATACACAAACCAAATACGAACAAGAAACCACAAATAATGAATGCCTAACGGCTACCTAAGTATGACTCCCAATCAGAGACAACGAGCTACAGCCGTCTCTGATTGGGAGCCACCCTGGCCAACATAGATATACAACAACTAGAACATAAACAAATGAAAACTCACACCCTGGCTCAACATACTAGAGTCCCCAGAGCCAGGGCGTGACAGTACCCCCCCCTAAAGGCGCGGACTCCGACCGCGCCAACCAAATACCACAGGGGAGGGATCGGGTGGGCACTCCGCCTTGGCGGCGGATCCGGCTCCGGGCATGATCCCCACTCGCTCTCCAACCCCCCAAGGTACCCCTGGTCCGGTCTGGCCCCGCTGGCCGGAGCTGGACTGCACACTGGTGGAGCGGATTGCTCTAGCTCCGGCGTGAAGCATCTGACCGGTGCCGGACCAGCCACCGGTGGAACAGGCACGGGCCGTGCCGGACTGACGACGCACACCACTGGCTTGGTGTGGGGAGCAGGAGCGGGCCGAGCCGGGCTGTCGAAGCGCACCCCTGACTTGGTGCGGGGAGCAGGAACGGGCCGAGCCGGGCTGACGAAGCGCACCACTGACTTGGTGCGGGGAGCAGGAACGGGCCGAGCCGGGCTGACGAAGCGCACCACTGACTTGGTGCGGGGAGCAGGAACGGGCCGAGCCGGGCTGACGAAGCGCACCACTGACTTGGTGCGGGGAGCAGGAACGGGCCGAGCCGGGCTGACGAAGCGCACCACTGACTTGGTGCGGGGAGCAGGAACGGGCCGAGCCGGGCTGACGAAGCGCACCACTGACTTGGTGCGGGGAGCAGGAACGGGCCGAGCCGGGCTGACGAAGCGCACCACTGGCCTGGTGCGGGGAGCAGGAACAGGCCGGACCGTACTGGGGACACACACCACTGGTCCTACGCCGGGATCTGGAATGGGCCGGACCGGACTGGTAACACACCCCAGTACCTCTCGCCGTGCCTCTACACCTTCCACCCCCTCTTCGACCAGTGGCCCCCGTAACCTGGCGGCCTCCTCTGCCAACCCGCTGGGCCTGCTCTGCCGCGGTCTCCTGCTGGCCCGTCGTCCACGGCGTTAGCCCCCCCCTAAAAAATTTCTGGGCGTCTCTCCCCGTGGACCAGGCCTCCATGTCTCTCGCCAGACTCTCACCCCACTGCTCCAAAGTCCAACCTCTCTCCTCTTCGCTTGGCTTGGCCCAGTCGAGACTCTTACTCCACTGCTCCCAAGTCCATCCTCTCTCTTCTTCACGCTGCTTGGTCCTGTTATGGTGGTTTCTTCTGTCACGTTCGTCGGTGAGAGATGAGGACCAAGGCGCAGCGTTGAATGTGAACATATTTATTTAATTTGATGATCACACAATCAAAACGATGACGTGACAGTCAATGGTCATACACAAACCAAATACGAACAAGAAACCACAAATAATGAATGCCTAACGGCTACCTAAGTATGACTCCCAATCAGAGACAACGAGCTACAGCCGTCTCTGATTGGGAGCCACCCTGGCCAACATAGATATACAACAACTAGAACATAAACAAATGAAAACTCACACCCTGGCTCAACATACTAGAGTCCCCAGAGCCAGGGCGTGACAACATTACTCCACTTTCTATTATTTCGGACAATATTCCAACTCTCCTTGATTCCCCCACCATTATAGTCATGCTCCACATCAGCGTCCGCTTACGCCATCTTTCTTTCCGACCATTTGACTGACTCCCAAGTGAAAAGCACATCACAGATTCGTTATTATAGGCGT